AAGATATAATATATATTGACATATATAAAATGATCGATTTTATTCTTTAAGATTTACTTCGAAATTCATTTGGAAATGTTTAAATGATGAAGATAAACAAAGGTAAGTGATTTATAATAGTACAGATGACATCCTTAATGAACGACATGATCCTATTTGAGAATTTCTGAAATAATTGTTCTAATTGACAGCGTTTGGATAATATTGCATGAAATAGATTAATATTAAATTTGTTTTAAAGTCTTGATCAATTAATAATACAAATTATCAAGTTAAAGATATTCGACTTTGCTAATTTTTACTCAATACATAACATATTCTTACGACTCTTAATTGACTTTAACAAGAATGAAAATTTTTTCTTTAGTTGAATAAAATTCTCATTTCGATATCTGATGTTCAATTATTTTATTTAGAGTTGGTCCACATATCTATTGGATTAGTTTATCAAAAGAAGATCAATATAAGTAAGTTAAAATTCTATTTGATCTTTCTATTTGTTATTGTAAATATTTTATTAATCATAGATATGCTCAAGAAATAACCAAAGAAGAACATAAAAATGAAGGGTAATAATATTTAATCACACAATAAAATATTTTATGATTTATCTTTTAGTGCATTGGAATTATTTGTATGGCGAAAATTAAACGTCGAAGAACAAAATAAGTTAGTAGACAGAGAATGTTTTTTTAAGAAAAAATTTTTCTCTGTTTTTCTTTTTCTTTTGAATAGTTTATTACAAAAGCCTCCTATTTATGATGAAAAAACTGAAAATTTATTAAAAAATGCTTTACAAAATGCTGAAGTTGAATCAGCTTTACAAGGCGTTATGCGTATGGATGTTGAAATAAAACGTGCTATAAAATTTTTACAAATTTCAACTGATATACGTCGACATCAAAAACGAACTAATGTAAACATTTTTTTTTATATGTTAGTTTAAAATTATAGATCAAGAAAAATTTTTTTATTAGACTGAATCAAAACAAAAACTTGAACAAAAACAAATCATAAAACGAAAATCATCAATGAATCAAAGTATTGGTAAACGAGTTATTTGTCGTTATGATGGTGATGGTTATTTCTATACGGGTACAATACAAAAAAATCAAGATGGTCGAATAGTTGTTTTATTTGATATGGATATTGAACAAGAAGCAAGTGGACATACTCTCTTACCTTTAAACAATTCAAATAGTCAACTTATTTTATTTCTACTTGATTATGTACTTGTTCGTCAAATCAAAGAGATGGAAGAATATTGGGTACCAGGTGTTGTTTCATGTCTTCCATCATCATATGTTTTACCATCTAATTTATATATGATACAAATATATGATCCAAATCCAAAACAAGTAGGAATTCAGAGATGAAGATAAGAAATTAAATTAAAAAAGAGATTTTTTAGATTTATGTACATCGAAAAGATATAATTAGAATCACTTTAGGACTTTTTCAAAGAAGTGTTCTTTATCTTGAAAATATTAAGTAAGCTTCTTCTGTTTTTTTTTTCGTGATCAAATTTTATTTAAATCTTTTCTTTAGTCAAATACCTGTAACGCATCAATGTCGAATCTTCAAAGAACCAGAAACATCATCGCGATCATCATCGCTATCCCAAGACGACGTTAAAAGTATGCAACTCACTAGAACAATCTTCTTTTTTTTCTATTCATTTAATTTTTTTTTTAGATCTTCTTCATGAATTTAGCGATCCATTAACAGAAAAACTTACACATATTAGTAAATCACATAACAAACGTTTTAATCAACTTCAAAAAGTAATAATAAATAAAATTTTAATATTAAACTTTTTTCTTTTCATTCGTAGATCTTAGAAGATCTAATGAATGCAATTAGAATTTTACGAGACCAACCACCTACTAAAACACAAGTTAAAGTTGAATATGCTCAAACGGTTCAAGTGCCATCACCAATACCAACACCAATACCACCAACAGATAGATCCGATTCTTCAAGATCTACATCAAAACGAATGTCAAGTACTTGGCCTATTGAACCCGAAACACATGTATATGCTGTATGGTCTGATGATGATGGACTTGTTTATGAGGTTTGTTAAAACGAATACTTAGATGAAGTCCCTTCCTCTTCCATTAGAAAATTCAAATTTTCGAAAAAAGAATTTTTGTTATTTAAGAAGATGTTTCGAAATCTTCTATCTTCGAATATATATATGGTTTTTTTTGCAAAGAAGTCCGATTTTAATTGACTTACTAGCGAAAATTTAGGCTTTACTATCTTGTTTTTCGAATTATTTGCATAACTTTTAAAAATCTTTCAGTTTTAAACAGACTATCATTTTTCCTCTGGTATCAACATAGAATAAAATGGCTTCATATGAATCATTACATTGATACTAACAATTAGAAAAAGGTTTCAATACTGAAAATGTAATTCACAAAAATTGTACAACACTACAAAGGTTTTTGAAGGAATCGATTTTTTTTATTAGTGATATTCGTTAACTTCATCTATTACATACTTCGAGAAAATTTTGTTTCAATTATTCGATGGATGATCTATTCTGCATACATATTTGTTGAATTTGAATATAAAAACAAATTTCTAAATTTATTAAAAGTTTTACTCTGAATCTGATTTTCAATAAAAAATAAATAAAATTCGTCCTTGAGGATTTAAGATGTGATTCATTTTTCATTTTTTTGTTTTGAAACTGTAAATAAAAATCTTTTTGTTTTTCAGGCTTATTTTAACCTCAAGCACCATAAAATTTCTATAGAAAATGAACGAAAGTGAATTTCAAAATTTAATTCGAACAATAGTTATGAAGAAATATTGGTATAACTCTGAATCTGTCTCGAGCTCTCTAGTCCTCTAAACAGCAGAGCCTTAAAGATTCTTCTGAAGGCAACAAAAGGAATTGTCAATGTATCGGAACTCTAGTACAGTTGAATGTATTGGATTTCACATTAGGACCACTCATCTTGAAAAATTTCAGTCTAAATGATCCTTACGAAGAGAGAAAACGATTATAATTTACTAGGAAAAATGTTCAGGAAATTTTAAAACAAACTTCATTTTAACATAGAACTATCAATTGAGATATAATTGTATTTTATCATAAATAAACTTCCTTCCAATTCAATGAGAAAACAACATGAACATTTATATGATATTGAACGACATTAGAATTGAACTTATCACCAATGTAATTATTTGGTTTTTTTTTAATGAAAAAACAAAAAACGAGGACATATTTCTAGTAGTTAGTTTCATTAAAAAATAGAACTCCACACAAGACCTAATAATCAATACAAGTCTTTGCATACATGTTCGAGGTCAAATTGACTCGATTTTCTTCTTGAATGCATCAGCAAACAATTGTCTAGTTAGTCGATCCGTACTGTGTGTCGTATATGATTGCATTGATTCCATAGCGAGAGTACGAACTACAAGCTGTTTCTATTAATTATTATACTGATTGTTAATTCAGCAAGGAAAAACAGAACTATGTTGACCTTCTCTTGTTTTTCGAGACGAGTAGATCTCTAATAACAAATAATGTATTTACAAGGAATATTAAATGAAAGCAAAGATTATTGAGTATAGAGTTTTTACAATTTTCTGATGTTATTTCAGTCGAATGGTATAGATTAAAATATCTTAGAATCAACAGAATCTATATCTAGCTAATAAGTAAAAATGACATTCTCTAATACACTTAATAATTCTAATTGTAAAATTTTTATTTGAAGATTTATTGAAATTTTTCATAAATCTTTATTTTTATTCTTGAAAGTATTAAAATCAATTTATCAATCTCATATTTATTTTAAATACAATCGTTCAATATTATATTTATTTTAGGGTATTGTAAAAAAATCAAATGGTTCAAATAATTATATTGTTGAACGCACTGATTTTCCTGGTGTTCAAAGTACTATATCGCGTAATGATATATTTCTTAATTCAAATCTCTGTCAATTAAAACATATGGAAGTAAGTTAATTAATAATATTTTATCGTTATTTTAAATTTTATATTTACAATTTAAGGCTGAATCATTTGCTCTTATTAAATATCCAAAGGATTCTCGTCAATGTTATTGTCCAGCAGTAATTCTTCGTCATCTTGATTATGGAACAAAAACAAAAGTTCGTTTTTATGATTGTTATGAAGAAGATCTAGAAAATGATCAATATGTTATACCAATACATGAACAACAATTTGAACGTTATACTGCATTACGTATTGAAAAAGAAAAATCTCTTATTAATCAAGTTATTGTTGGTTTAAATGAACAAAATGAACAAACAAAAACATTTATGTTAGGTAAAAGAATTTGATACTCGTTTTTTTTTCTGCTTTTCGTCTATAGTTAAAAATCTTAATTAGGTACAATTAAAACTCGTGAAGGAACTGGTCATTTGTATAAAATACAGTGGTGTAATGAACGTACATCTGAACAAATTGATGAACATTTATTTGGTGCATTTTCTCGACGTTATAAACATAGAATTGATGATTATGTTTTAGCTATTGATAATAATGATGCTATTTATAAATTAGCCAAAGTTCAATCTATATCAAATGATCGAAAAAATTTAAAAGTTCAATTTATTAATTTAAATAAAAATAATAATAGTTTATCACCAAAGTAAAATATATTTTTATTTTTTGATCAAGAAATGAAGAAAATATTATTTTTCTTGTTTTTAGAGAAGCTGATGTTCCAGCAATGACTACATTTGTAATTACTGAAGCATATTATAACAAGATTATTAATATTCTCTAAACGTGACATTATTCTTAAGCACTAATTTTTCTTTTCTTTTTTTTTTTTCATATATCCATATATATCTTCTTTCTCCTCAGATAAAACACCTATAAATACATGGATTTTATGTCTATTTTTTTCTTTGATGCGTTTATGTTTTTATTAAAAAAAAAAAAGAAAAAGAATGAGAAAAAGAAGAACTCCAGAAAAAAGTTTTATGAATTTTCTATGTCATTTACACGTACCATTCTCTTGAATCAATGCCATTATGTTCATTTGTTGCCATCAATTTTTGTCGATAATGATGTGATGAAGATGCTTTACCACGGCAACCACTATTATCATGACTGTCAATATTAGAGTTTAAAACAAAATTTTTACTTTCATCAATTTTATATGAACCTTCATCACGATTTCGATATTTAACAAATGCATAAATAATAATTATAATTAAAATAATACTTGCACTTATACATCCAATAAGTAATGTTATATTGAATGTTCGATTTGCTCCCTGTTGTGTTGTTGATAGTGATGTATGAAAAAGACTAACATTAGAAATTGCAGTTGTTGCTGTTGTTGTTGTTGATAAAAGGGAATTAATTGTTGTTGCTGATACAGTTGTTGTTAATTTATTAAAATCACTACTAATAAGAAGATTATTTTCGTTTGATGACATTAGTTTAATAATGCTTTTCGATAATGATTGGTTGATAAGGAAAAGAACATCATTCTTATCATGAAAAGATGAGTTTCGTGATGAGTTGGCAATGCCAGTAAAAAGGAAGCGCGGTGAAGAACGAAAAATATCAAAACCACTTGATGAATAGTAAGTGGTTTGTTGATGTTTACAAAAAGATAGAGGCAATAATGATAAAAAGGAAGACGATAATGACTGATTGAAAATATTAAAATAGTAATGATGATCAGTTGAAATATTAACTAAAATATAGAAATTCCAATTATTCACTTTGAACAATATATATATATATATACATATATATAAACGACTAAAAATGCATAGGAATAAGCAAAAAAAAATGTGTTTTTTTTTGCATGTAAAAACCTCGTTATCGTGATGAAAAAATATTGAGAGAAATAGAGAGGAAATGGATGTTGGTGATGGTAATTGGATAGAAAGACAGAGGAACGCCGTTAGAGGAAAAGATCCTTTCTCTTCTTTCTATCATATATTTTTTGTCTGCATATGAAAGCAAACGAACGACAACTCTCGTATGGCTTGCCACTATAACTACTCTAGACGATGACGAGAAAGCAAGAACGACGACGCAGAGGACTTATAACAATTTTTTATGACGCGAACAAGAAGAGGGAGAAGACACATACGCACAGGGTACACACGCGCGTGCGCAAAACCTACCATCACTGGAAAGAAATAGAATTCTATCACATCACCCAGTGAGTGGAACAAAAAGAAAAAGCACACTCACATACACCAGCACGCACGCTATATGTCGCTGCTCAACTTTCCGTGAATAAATCATCGTTGCCAATAGATTAAAGAAAAACAAACGAAGAAAAAAAATTAAAATGATATTGAGAAAACATTCTACAATAAAATCAATGGATAGCGAAAACACAAAAATAATTTATCTATATATGACAAATGTTAATATATTTATATATATATATATATTCTTCACGTGTAATCTGAATAGAACATATTAAATAATATTGATCTTAATTGAATATTAACATTTAATTATATATGACAAAGCAAAAAATTCTATTAACAAGTTTAGATATCTACATAATAAACAAAAAGATAAACTTCTTCGAAATAACTTTGTTAACTAGATGAAGATTATTTTTATTATTATTGTTATTACTTTCTTTCTTTCTTTCTTTCTTTACTTACTTCTTTCTAATCTATCATTATTAGCTTGACATGAAGTTATAAGTATAAGACGATTTATTGAACAATTTTTTGTTGTAATGCCATCAATTGAAATGACAAAGATGATTATATAGATAATAATCATGACTAAAGTTGATGTTCATTCACTACGTTACAATTGTAAGTGGGCATAATCTCATGATGTTTTTTTTTCCTCTCTTCTTCTATTGCTTCCGTATTTTTCAATGTATGTTCCGATTGTTAATTAATCACACATTTTGATTACGACAAGACTGATTAATTGAAATCTGTTCAATGAGATCAGATTTCATCATCATAAAAGGAACCGATGCCCTATACACAACTTTTTTTTTTCTCTTGTATATTTGCATGACCCTAAATGTCAATTGATAAATGGGCAGTTGAAAATTGAAGAGAAAGACAAGTTGTGTTGAAATACTTGTACAAATAAATATTTTTTCTGTGAAATATAGTTTTGTTTATTGATATTTAAATGAGCTGATTGTAAAAATTAGACTATGTAGATCTAGACAATTACATTTCAATTAGAAAAAAATTCCTTGAAAGAAATATCATATGTTAAAGAAACATGCAGACAACAGATGTTGAAAGTCGAAACAAATATAATATAAATTCTTGTTATCATTATTTAACAGTAAAGGTCACATCATCCGTGTCATCCAATTGTTGCACTCGAAAAATATTCTTCTGTTTCTAAATGGTAAACTGTCAGAACATTAAAAAAAACATAGATCTATTTCCACAATAAATTAATAACTTCTTTGTCATCAGAAAGGCAAAAAGAAGTTTTGTGGATGTATGTGAATGAATTAAATATAGATGAAAAATTCACTAGACTAAATTAATCGGTATTTTTTGATTTAACTTTAGAAAAAGACTAATGTGAGATATATTCGAGAGATTTCATCCAATTAAGAAATATACAATTATTAACTTTGTATTTTTTTCTAATAGCATTATCTTCTTAAAAACATGATATAAATAGCCAATAAGGTCTTTTTTTTTTATTGTTCTGTTACGATAGACTGTGTGTCTTATTACTAGTCTCTTGATAAAACAAAACAATCACGACTAAGTAAAAAAACAATTCTCTATTGTATTATCCCATGAGTAATCACGTATCTCAAAAATTCCGTTCAATTTATCGTGAAAAAACAATTGTTTTATATTATCATTTCTTATAAAATAGTTTGTAATGAACAACAGCAGACACTTCTGCAGATTAACAACATCCACTACACTAATTAGTGTAATTGACAGAGCATATCAAAGAGTGAGAGTGTTGTGGGGACGCTGATCTGCAGATGTGCTCCAAAATCCAGTGAACAATTAGTAATCAACCATGGTGAATCTGAATATCAGGTTCATCCATACTGGTACGGCTTCAGAGTCACGAGACTCTTAAAAACCGATTAATTACAGTGAAAACCTTTTTCCGTCAAAATATGTTTTTTTTATCTGTCCAAATTGCAGGACGCATCGAATCTGCATAAGTGAATATATCAATATAACATCTACACCCTGGAGATTAATCATCTAAAATCGATAAAATAAACGTATATACAGATATAAAGCCTCATTGGTGTAGATTACAAAAAAAAGTGACAAGTTGTTGCCATTTAAAAGTTTTCGCGTATTATAACGAGCTCTGTGAGTATTCCAAGATAGCAAAAAATAGTTTTTTATACTCAATTCGATGTCCTCTACAATCTGGACAAATCAAAAAAAGTTTTCGCTGAAGTAAACCGAGTTTCCAGAGCCTCAGATCTCTGGAAGTCTAGCAGCAAGAAGAACCATGATATTGGGATAAGCGATTTATCACTTGGATATATTCCCTCATTAGAGCATAACATTTCTAAAATTATTTATGACCGCATATTATTCATAGAAATTCAGTAATACAATAGATATCAATATGTGATTTTAAAATGTTTCACTTGATGTATCTATATGCATATCTCTATCCGGTTAGTTTAGGGGCACGTAAATCGAATCTTGTTTATTAGAACGATCTAATAAATTTTATTTGATTTTTTTTTTCATCTAGATTCAGTTCAATTAAGCAATTAAAAACTGATATCTACTCAATATAAATCATCAATCTACTCGAAGCGAATATAAATTTGTTCGAGAAATATATATTTAACGAAAACTTGTCAAAAAAATCAATTATAATAGAAATTTTTCCTTTATTTTCATTATAATCAATATTTTTCGTTAATTTAAAGAAATTTTTTAGACGAGCTGATAAACTATATGTTTAAATATGAGCTATCGGACATTAATTTCTTGATTCATAGTTTGTATCTGAATTGCAGATTGTTGGATTAAATTCAATCGAATCAAAAGGTAATAATATATAAAGAATATTTGAAAACAGTATTTAAATTTATAAATCTTTTTCATAATAAAGATTTCGATAAACAATTCATTGATCATAATCGAGCGTGATAAGCAAATTTATCATTATTTAAAGATCCAGGGTGTGGGTGTCGGATGTGGGTGTGTGGGTGTGGTTGGTGTGTGGATGTGTGGGTGTGGGTTGGAATCTTCTCTTCTTGTACACCCACCCACATCCCACACCCAATTTTATAAAGATAATGCCTAGCATAATAGTAATGATAATACTATTAAATAAAATACTGTTTATAAAACCTCTCGACAGAAAGACTTATTACGTACTGTGATAAAGCAAATCGTGTTGGTAGAGATGGATTAGATCCAACAACGCAATTGACTGATTCATCTGATGAATTTTGCGTATTTTCAATAGAATAAAAACAAAGTGAAATTGAAGTACTTCGTTTAATAACTAACTCATATTTTTTTTTGTCATTGTATTTTCTAAGAATCATAACACTATTAGTTAATATCAACATAGTAATCTTACATAATATGGACAGCGTCCGAATTATCTCTGCCGTTTAGTTTTTAATATTACAGAAAATGATAAAAGCTTGAAAGTATAGAATTAAAAGTCAGTTATCTCGCCAGTATATAGAATATGCTCAAATTTACCATTTTATCCTATTAGATAATAAATTGAAAGTTAACATATTATGAAAAAAATAGTATGGCAATATTTTGAAAGTCATTTTTTGCTCTCTACTATCGTTCGTAGAAAGTCTCAACAAATCTTCAAATTCTCTTATAAGTCTACTATTTAAAAGAAAACTTAGGCTTGCTTTCGCAACATATATTAATTCATTTGAACAATTGGCGCTTTTAAAAAGCAAAAAAAAACGAGATATTCAATGCGCAAATTATCTCTTTATCGAGTGTATGGTTGTTCAACTGTTCATCGTAATAGCATCATTGGTTTACCAGATAATCGTGTTGCTTTTCTAGCTGGTTCGTATTTAGTTATACATGATTGTTTAACAAATGAACAACGTTATTTATCTTTTTCTGCGATTGAATTTCTTTATATATCATCAAGTGGTTTATTAATGGGTATAATAGATCGTTTTACACAAAATGGAGATACACGTATACATATATATTCAACAAAACCAGTCGATTTATTATGTACTATCGAACCAGATCGATTCGGAAGTTTTATTGGAATAACAATCAATAAAAATGATAATTTACTTATGATTTTGCATAATGAACCAGCTTATATGATTACAATTCGTAACTAAAAAAAAAATAGAAATAGATAACTGAAGTCTTTCGTTTTTTTTTCTGTTTTAGAAGAAATGCAAATTGAATTCGATGAACAACATAAATTCAATATGACTGATTTAGCTTCAGTACGTGTTGTTCATGGATTTGTTTTTAATCGAATGATAAAAAAAGAAATTATACCTCATGTAGCATTTATTAGTTTTTGTCCATATTCATTAAATCTTTTTTGTGCAACTGGGTCAGCATTATTTAAAATTTATGAAATTGATAATCAAAATGTTAATCAACAAACTATTCATTTTCGAGCAGAATTTTATATATTTACATGTCATTGTTGGCTTGATGTCAATAGTATTTTAGTATGATATTTAATTTGTCAAATGAATTTATCTTTTTTTTCTTTTTCCTAAGACAGCTACTAATCATGGACATATATTTTGGATTCAAGATGGTTCTATTCGTTCAGATATTAATCTTGAAGAATCGATTACTGTTGATTTACATTTCTTAAAAAAGAATATATCCAATGAAAATTCGAGTCAACAATCGATGACATTAAAATCTTCATCAAGAATAAATACATTAGAATATGGCAAGATTCTCTTCTATTTTTTTTTTTAAATTGTATAGTTCTATTCTTTCTAGATCCGATTGAAATGTTAAAAGATGATTTATTTACTAGTACTAATAATACTAATATAAATAGTCTAGCAATGATTACTGAAAAACAATCGAAAATTCATTTGGATAACTCACCAAAAAGCAATCAAATATCAGAAGAAATTATTTTATATCTTGATATTTTTACATCGAATGAAATATTACCATGTTTTATAGTTTCATTTCGAGAATACATACTTATAGTAAGTATTAACAAACATCATCATAAGATGAAATCTATATCTTGTATGAAAAAACCAAAAAAAAAAATTTTCCAAAAATATTTATTATTTCATTACACTATTTTCTCTAGATAAACTAAATTGTGATAAGTTCTTTTTTAAAGTGAGATTTTTTTTTTGACAATAATATTATCATTTATTGAATTGTAAAATTCAATATTTTTGAGAATCAATTTTTATCTATTGATATATTTAACTTTACATTAGCATTCTCCTTCCTATTACAAAGCATTCAATAGAAAAATTTCTTATTGAATTTAGAAACTGTTAAGTTTATTTCTATAAAATTCGAAAAGATATCTCAATAAAATAAAAATGTTAAACATGTTGTGTTTTTCTGTCAATCAGTTCAAACAATAATCGAATGTCTACATTAAAATATTTTGATTCAAACAGAACTAATCTTATAAAAGTATTCTTCAATTTCTTCACACTCATGAAAAACAGATATTCACATCAGTCCCATGTAAATGTTTTATATCAAACATAAGAAATTTAAAAAATTGATCTAGTTCTATAATGTTTTACAATTTAATCATCATACAAAGCTTTTAACTGCCTCATTTAAATTCATCTTAAATTTCCTGCTATCGAAAAAAAAATTATTTTTAATTTTTTTTTTTGTAACATCTAGTTTACTCCAATCACTGTTGAGCCATTCTTTCAAATAATAGCACGTTATTGTCTTCAAAAAACAAAAGAACATCAAATTGATTTTGAAATACATAATATTTATAAAATGTCATATATATTCGATAATAATTTTTCATTAATTTATCTCTTAACTGATCGTAATCATATATTTCGTTATAAAATTAATCAATCAAATAATAATAATAATATTGAATTGAATGAAAAACATATTTATGGTTTTCATGCATATAATATTTTATCTATTGGTTTATGTGCTCATAAATCTTGGTTAATAACTCTTGGTGGTGATAATTCAATAAAAATATTTGATTATAAAGATAATAATCGAGAGATTATATCAAAATATATTTCCGATAGTGTATATGTAGTTACAGGTAGAAAGAATTTTTTTTTTTTTTTCGATTAAAAATTCGTTTTCTATTTATTGAAATTAAGGATCTGATCCATATGGTTTTCATATATGTCTAGCAATGAATAATTGTTTTCAATTATATTTAATAACAAATTATGAATTACATATGATACATCAATATGATACACGTAGTATACGAGATTTAGAAATGAGTCAATCAGGACATTTAATAGCTGTTATAACAAATAATTTAATAAAAATTTATTCAACAATTCATTTTAATTTAATAAGTCAATTACGTGGTCATGTTGGAAAAATAAAACAAGTTCAATGGTGTAAAAATGATTCAATTCTTATTAGTTGTGGAACAGATGGAATGATTTATATATTTAATATTTTTACTGGTAAGATTTTAATAATAAATAAAAATAAATTTCTTTATTTCAATGATAACATTGGAAGGTATGAGAGAAAGTGAAATAATAACAAAACAATATCGTTATATTGGTATTGCTGTAACAAATAATTGCAATCGTATATATGCAATAACATCAGATTCAAATATTAAAATATTTAATAATACAAATCTTGAACAAGAATGTCCAATTGAAAATGGTTTTATTCCATCAGCTATTTGTTTATCGAAATCTGAACGTGTACTTTATGTTGGTATGACACATGGTATCATTCGTGTATATACAAGTCCATTGAAATTTGATAATTATATTGATTTATCAGCACATTATTCAAGTATACGTCGTTTATTAGTATCATATGATGATGAATATTTAGTATCCATAGCTGAATCTGCTTATATACTTCTTTTTAAACAGACAATAAATAATTTAAATTCTGTTTCAAGTCAATATCAATTTTCACAATTATCTATAGAAAATGTTGAAATTATTGATGAACAAGAAAGAACACAAACAATATTTGAATATATTTTAGTTACAAAATCAGAATTTGATGAACGAAAAAGAAAAATAAAAGAAATTCAAACACGAATTAAGTGAGTTGTATTCAAGAAGAAAATCACAAATCATCAAATCTACTCTTTCTTATTTGATTATCAGTTTTTCAAGCTAACAAATATTTTGCTAAAATCATTTGTGATCTACTTAGATTATAGAACATATCGAATTATCTATAAGTTCAGTAATCTTTTCTGTTTTCCAAATACGAGTTTTTAGTAAAATAATATAATCTTTAAGATTTTCACAATGAAATGTGGAGATGTATCTGTTGTCTGAATTAAAACAGCTGAATTTTCTGTACAAAAAAAAATAAATAATTTGAAACAGAAAAATTCAAAAAGTTCTTTTATGGTGAAAAGGCGATAACCTACAATCTATCACTTTTCAATAAAAAAGCGATTGATCAGTTGAAAACATCCCTTAATATGTACACATATGAGTCTAAAGAACAAAAAAAAAAGCGTTAGTGAAATTTTTATTAAATGTGAAGTTAGATGATTATATAATAAATATAAGCCCGAATGTAAGAGCAATATCTGTGTTATATACAATTGTATTTTATGTTTATTTTTCATTCTTACTGTTTAAAGGACTTAATCTTGTTCATATAATATATTTTATTAAATTTATTTATCTTTTATAGTGAATTTGAAGCAGAAAATAATTTAAAATTAAGTTCAAAACAACTAGCATTTTCTAAACATTTAAATAATTATTCAAATAAATTTCAAACAATGATGAAACAACTTATTCTTACATATGAACAATTAAAAACTGAAATTGCAAATAATAATTGTAATTTTATCAATCAAAAAAATGAAATAGAAGAAAAATATAAAACACTTCAAAATCATACTGAAGTTATCTATGAAAATAAAATACTAGAAACGGTTTTGATTCATTTGTTTTTTTTCTCATAATGATTCAAATGACTTGTTTTTGTTTTTTTTAGCTTTCACATATTCAAAATACACAATCTCAATTAGAAAAACTTAAAATAGAATATGAAAATAAAATAATTGATTTTAATAATAAAGAACATATTAATCTAACTGAAATAGTCAACAAAATGAATGTAACACTTCAATCAAAATGGTGTTCAGCTATTCATAATTATGAAACAATTCAAGAAAAAGAACGTCAAATAAATGAATATATAAGACAAATGGAAATCGATATTGATGATGAAATTGAAAATCTTAAAATTAATTATGAAAAAGAATTGAAATTTTTAAATGAATATGCAAAACAACTTACTTTTACTGTATGTTAGAGAGATTTTAGAAATATTGACAAGTAGTCAAATTGTATTTAAATATAATTAAAAACAAATGAATCATTAGAGTAGTTCTATCTGATAGTTTGTCATCAAAAGAAAGATCTTCTAAATACAAAAATTTTATGTTAAAGATGTTTTTATTATTTGAAAATGAGCTATTTCTATTTGTTACATGTTTCTCTCACTTTTATTATTGTCTCGTTTCTTAATATCTTTTCCAGGCCAAAACGAATTAAATTTCTTTACTTTTCATTCCACTACTATTGAATCAATAGAATAAAAAAAAAGAAGAGTTCTTATTTAATTGTACTATCTGTGATTAATCAAAGTAAAATTGATCTATTCATAACAAAGACTGAAATATAAAGAATTTCATATAGTTTATTGTATTTTTAATTGATGAATTCCTCATCCGCTTTGCTTCTTTCTCAATAATATCGTATCAAGACTGTAATCTACTTTAGATGCTGGATTTGTTTAAATATAAAGACTAGATACAAATAGAATTATCAAGCTTTCACTAAGAGAACATCTGTAAGGGCAATGCTATGTCTTATCTTGAAACTTTTCCCATTTACTAAATCAGTAAAGGTTATTATTAGATATGGAATGCTTCGTTCTATTTTTAAATAGAAACTAAGATGCAGTTCTAGTATATTGATAGTACGTATGTTTGATAAACGAAATAAAAACTGAGTTCAGTTCTAATCTTTTGAATGACATATAATATTAAACTCTCATCTTCTGTTAGTGAAAATGAAATACTGATTTTTACACACTCACAATGAATGTCAATCTTTTTATTTTGTTTTAGGTGAGTACTCTTCGTAAACGTTACAATGCTATAATCGATCGATTAGAATCTCGTGATATCAAACGAAATGATATTGAAAAAGAAGTTAAAGAATTATACAATCGTCAATCAGAATTAATTGAAAAACTTGATCGTTTTCGTTTAAGTACGAACAAGAAATTTTTTTTATTTAGATTTTTTTAAAAAATATTTATTGTTTAGTTATTAAAAAGAAAGAAGATCGTATTGGTACACATGATATAAAATTACATCGTTTACAACAACATATATTACATGTTGAAAAACGTAAATATGTTCTTGATTATAAAACAAAATCTTTATTAGAACGTATTGAACCAATCGATCAAGAAATAATAAGATTAAAAACAAATAATCAAAATATTGAACAACAATTAACAATTCTTAAAAAACAACAAAATGATTTAATTTTACGTGAAAATGAATATGAAATTAAATTAAATGAATCATCTAAACAATTAAATCTAGCAAAAAGAAATCATCAATATATATGGAAAATAGTTCAACAACAAAAAGGTTTGATAAAAAAAAAAAAAAATATTAAAGAAAATTTTTATCATTATTTATTAATTTAGAACTAATAAAAAAAGCATTTGAATATATTGAAATCAATTGTACATTTGATATAACAAATCCGATTAATAATTCAAAAGAACAATTTAAAAAATTTATTCAGGATATGTGTAATGCAATACAGAATGAACAACAAACTGAAAATCAATTAGAAATACAAGGATTTATGAAAGAATGGAATAATCAACGAAAGTGGTTGCTTAATCAAGTATAAGAAAAAATTTCATTATCTTCAATTTTTCGAGATTAAATAAAGTGATTCAATGAATATGTAATTTATAAAGATATGGTGTGGGTGTGCACCTCTACTTTTAAAAAATTTCTTTGCATCCTCTCTTACACTTTTTTCTTTGCTACAACCGTGATAATTTTGAGTAAAGACTTTTCTTTTATTCATACAAATTTAATCTATTATGTGTTCTAATCTGAAGAACAAAATCTTAATTTTTGATTTAAATATATCTGAATTAAATTAATCATAATAGACAATTAAGACCAAATAGAATATTCAAAAATGTGAATTTTAGTTGTACAAATCATGATAGACATTGTTACACCAAACCGTAAATCATATTATGAGATTACTATGAAACATGACTGTTCAGTTTATAATAAGAAAAATGATTTTGTCCTTTCATCTATTCTTCAAGTATCCATCATACACAATAAGCAAGAGAACGAATTAAAATACTAGCTCTTGGCCACTTTTTTCTATTCCATTTTATATTTTACAATTAAACCTTTCACACATTCACAAGGATTTCACTAAGAATTTAGTCAAAACTATTTACTTATCCATGATAAAACACTAACTGAAATTATTTTATTTTCAATAGAAGTATGTACACACACACACACACACACACTTCTTTGTTTGCTACCGTCTTCAATGACTCTTAAATAATAAAATTTTATCCTGAACCTTCAACAGATTTTGTTACAAGTGGATATATATATATATATATATTCGACCTTCAGTTTGTGTGTGATGCTTTTTTTTTGTAGTGCTTATGACTGATTTTATTCATCAGACACTATCTACTTAATTTGACAAGACAATTTTTTCAAGAATATTCTGATCACTTTTTTCTTCTAGCGAACTAAAAACAGCTTTTTAAAGGCAAAATGTACGATTTCAAATAGGATTTTCGATAGTTTATGAAAGACTTCTGTAGTTAAATTCTAAAATTCTTTTGTTAATAAAAGACTATTTCACTTATTATTTTTATAGTTGAATAATCTAACTAAATATACTGAAGAAAATAAACAATCATTTGTTAATATTCAACGTGAACATCGTAAAGGTAAAAGATAAAATTGTCATTTATTTCTATTATTTATATATTTATCTATTATTCAGCTATTGCACCATTTATAAATCAACTTCGTGAATTACATAATTTATATGATGATATTCAAAAAAAAATTCAAAAACGTTTATTACAATTAAAAATTAAAACAAATGAACAAACAGAATTTTTACAAAATATATCAGATATATTACATGGAAATAAAAAGATTCATTTAAAAATACATAAAATATATCAAAATGAATTATTAATTGAAACTCAAGATAAAGAAATAGATCGTTTAAATTCAATTATATTTCGTTATCAATATTCTACACCATGTTTAGAATATAATCAAAAAAATTTTATTCATAATAATGAAAATAATACAACAAGATCAACAATTCCATTATCATCATCTATAAGAACTAATGATTAAATAAATTCTCTTAATCAACTAAAAAAATAAACAAAAATATTATTCTATATAATATATCAATTGTTTTTAAATATATTGAAGTGTTTTGTTGAAAAAGAAATAATTCGATCAATAAATGCATTGTTAATTCTTGTTGAATATGTTTGAATAAAAAGTACACATTGTTTAAGAACTATTATTATTATTATTATTATTAAAATTGATTGAAGATTAAATGATCCTGTACTAAAAAAAAAGGTGAAAATTCATTAACTTTGTTCCTTAATATTCTATTCTAATATGTCTGTCTGTCTATTTTATTATCGATGAACAAAGAAAATGAAAAAGATAGGGCCTTCAGTCTACTTAAGATTACAAACCATAAGCGATCATTGACTGACGACAGGTGGTCGTCATACTAAGAGAACGAAAAGCGCGTGAGTGCTATTCAATCCTCTCTTTCTCTCTTCTTTCAATATAATATAGCAGTTGCAACGTTTGCATGCCATTCTTTCAACAATAAATACTACCTTATTTTCGTTCTTACGTGCAACACGCACACACACACACGTACAACAAGTAGTAATAGTAGTGCCAATACATATTCTTCATTTTGTTCTTCTTGTTCTCATACATTTAAGTCCAAAGAGAAAAAAAAACAAAAAAAAGGAATCAAAAGCGAAAGAAATTGGCACGTACAACATTTGACCTCTGTTCTTTTTTTCATATACATACAGATGATGATGATGCGAAGATGAAGATGATGATCGTAAGTATCGTCAATAAATCATTTTTTATATTTGCTTGATTTTTTCTAAATACTGCCAAGAGTCTTATTATCAAATATGCAGAAGAACAAATATGTTCTAATATTATACTTTAATTCCATTTATATATATATATACATATAAACTCATTAAATGTTTTACGTTTAATTTATTGAAGAAGAAAGGAAGACAGAGAGAGTCAAAAGTAATAATCAACGTTGATTGAGAAACAAAAACACTTGAACAATAAAGCAAGGCAAGATTCTTCCTTTCAGTCTAAGACAAGTAAACAGAAAAAAAAAACTTGAAAAATGATGAAATGAAGAGAGACGTCAGGCTTAATTGTGCTTCTAATTCATAAATGAGCAAAATGAAAGACAAGTGTGTATTTGTTGATTCAAATTAGCAGCACAAAGCAGACTGTAAAATATCATTGTGATCGTCAGCAGAGGTAAGCAAAAAAAAAAGAAAAGTATTCAACTTACACATACGTTCAAACTGTTTATTGGGTATAAGATTTTAACAAAATATGGGTTTCTTTTATAAAAAAAAAAGGAAGCAAAGAAGCAAAAGTTTATCGTTGAAAAAAAATGAGAAGATAAAAAAAAATGTTTTTCTTTACAAACCAAAGAAATTCAGTTAGAATTAACAATAAAAAAAAAGGAAGAGAAACAAAAAATACAATCAACAAATAATTTTTATTGATTGAGCAATGTTTCAGAATTAGTTGTGATTATCAAGTTTTATTGTTCATATTGTGTGTAAGTCATATTGATATGTAAATATATATCTTTGATCGTTATATACGTAAGTTTTCATATGACGAGACTATATGAAAATAGAGTAAAGAGAAAAAATGTAAGACAGAAAGAGAAAAAAAAAAGATCTATGTATGTTCTTTGTTGTCCTTCAGTTTCTTTTGTTTTATATTTATTAACTCTTATCTATTTTATTTATATCTCTACCGAGTTAGGTTTGGTGCTGTTATGTTCCTCACAACCAACTTCATTGATAGTGACATCTGATAATAATAAGAATTCAGTTATGACAACTACAACAAATATTTCATCGAATTCAGTTAGTTTTTTACCATTAAAAACATCAATACAACAAACAGCATGTAACACATGCAAACGTCTTCTATATTCATTTGAAGAAATCCTTGTTTGTTAGTATATCTTTACAAATATTCTTTCATTTATTTGATCTTTAATAATATAGGTCGTGTTTGTCATGATTCGTATCATTGGCGTTGTGTGAAACCTGAAACGGTTATTCACTATGGTGAAAATGAAAATTATATTTGTGATAAATGTAATGGCGGTATAACAACTAGTCCATCTGATCGAATCACAAATGGTGGTATTAAATTTGAATCAACTGATTCTTCTATTCCAGATTATCGAGATGTTGCTAATATACCATCAAAAACCAATTCAACAGAAACAAATGTTCTTAATACTATTCGATATTTTGAAGAAAAACAACAACAATCTCAGACAAATAAAACAACGAAAGTATCTGAACTTAATGGTTATCTTCCATTACCAACTAATGAAAGAGAATATCATCAGCATAATGGTAAGATTTAAAATGTATAATTAAATAAAGAACAAAAAAAAAATATATCTTCACTTTCAACATACATTTCTTTGTTTATGTGATGATATTGATTTGAAACATTCTTATTCAAAAGATCATAAACGAAATATATATCAAACAAAGAGAGAATAGAATAAAAATAATGTAATATAATCAATTACTACATAGTAAATTTTTTTTTAAAAGAAAATTTATCTTTCATCCTTGTCTATTATTCAAAATTTGTACTTATATATAATCAGTGGCGATCCGAAGCAGTCAACATATTAGCGGGGAAGGGAGATCACAATTTTTTGCAAAAAGAATAACACCTTTCTTCTAGCAGAATACAACGAGAGAATTTCGATTCGGCTGTGAAAAAATACAAACTTATTATGACTGAGGTGATATTTTACACCCTCCGTACTCCCGATCGAACCATCACTACATATAATTCTATTCGTAAGCTATATAAGTGAAATCAATAATAGAAAGAATTGAAGTTCATGCATGTATGTACGTAGTTATCATCATCTTATGCGTAATGACAAACACGAGTGTGATCAATACATATGAACAAATATAAATCCTTTTTAAATGTTCTCTCGTTCCTTTTTTCTTGTCTTCATCTTGATTCACACCATATATATATACACATACTCTTTATCAATCTCATGCTTCTGTTACAATGTCTCATTTTTTTCTTATCAGTTAGTATTTGTCTTTTTTGTTTGCATAGGTCAATACAGCGATGGCAGTCGAACAACTCAACGAATTCAACAACAAACATATAACGGAATAGAAAGTGACAACGAAAACGATACAACAGCAATGTTTCAAGCTAATTACCAATACACTCCTCTTAAAGAATATGCTGCACTGAGAGGTAGTCAAACAACAAATGATAAATATACAAATGGTTGTCAAAGTAAATAAACACTATTTCATCTCTTTTTTTTTTTTGCAAACTATTTAAAAAATAAAACCCGAAAAAAAAAAATTTACAAATTGATAAAATATACGTTTTAGAAAATGCCATTAAATGGCAAAAAAATATTTTAAAACGTGAAAAAAATTCAGATATTATTCTTTTCACTCTATTTGCGCGTGAGTATTCTTCTTTTAAAAGGATTTTATGATCTCAGGGATTTCTATTCTACATGATACATTATAGGGAAATCTTTTTTTCTTTTTCTTTTATACTTAAATCGACACCACTGCTAACATTAGACATATAGAATAACAGGGATGAAACGATAAGAATTATTTATTTTTCTTATTAATCGAAAGATTACGATTTGTAACTATTTAAGATTTTTTTTTTTATAGGTTTTAACTAAAGAAATGATTACGTAAAAAAAAAAAAGAATACATTCAATATCCTAGAATATAAGTTGTCTTTTAAAACAATTCGATGAAATCTTATATTGAATATCTTATTTGAAAATTCAAATCTTAGTTTACTTTCGATAAGATTAAAATTTTTATGTAATAAGAAGTATCAGATTTTAATTTCATTCTTAATTAAATATCACCAATGAACATTTACATATGTCTTTAATCTAATTCAAACATTTTTTTTTTTTTCTCAATTATTCAGATCCTCCTCCAGATATTGACGTTCGTCAAACAACATCTCGTTATGGTGGTGGTTTACGTTATTCAAATCATGGTTATGATCCAACAGTTTCACGTCTTGTTGAAGCTCCCATAACTGATGGACCACATTTTGTAACTCCAATAACTAATAATTTACCAAATCATAATCGTGAACAACATTTTGTTAGTACAACTAATTTAAATATTAATGAAAAAGAGTTTCGTCGTCAACAACAGCAACAGCAACGACAACAAAGCTCTCTTACTGATGCAGCTCCATATATATCTCAAATTCGTCATGATTATCCATCAATATTTAAACCTTCAACTCAAGAACAACAACAACAACAACAACAACAACAACAACAACAACAACAACAACAACAACAAGAGTGTCAGACAACAGTTGGTAGTAATTCAGGTATTCCTATGGCTCATTCAAATTCTCAACAGCAACAACAATCGAATGAAAATCAAGCAGTTGAAAGAAAATTAACGACTTTAGTTCAACAATTAGGAAAACAATTAGAAGATGATGCACAAAAAATCAATGAAAAATTAGAATTAAAATTAAAAAAATTTGAAGATATGATTAATCAACAAACATATGTTATTCGACAACAAGATGAAGTTATTGAACGTTTAAAAAGTAAAATACTTAAAATTGAAACAGAACGTGATCATTTTCGTGATCGTTTAAATGTACATGAACAACGTGAACAAGGTGACAAGAAAAATTTTACAACAAATCAAACAGATAAATCTTATAATCAACCTGTTAATAATGAACAAGATAATGAATTAAATAAAAAATATTCAGATACATCAACAAGTACTACAGACAATACCAAATTATCAACGAAAAAGGTTGAAAAAAAATAATAATTTCGTTTTTTTTTTTTCTTGACAAAAGAAAATGAAATTTACTTAATTTTCAAATATTTCCTAAGAGTAGACTTTCTTGAGAGATTGATTATTGTAAAATAAAGATTATAAGTTATGTTGGAAGTAGGATAAAAATTTTTTCAATAGAACTACTCATATATGAACTAGTACCGTTACAAGAAAGTAATTCGATTGCATTATGAGTTATAATTCCGTCTTATTAATCGAACTAAACCTTGAAACGATTTAAAAAATCTAATCAGAAAATGCTTGTATCAACAATTCTTCTCTTACACTTTGGCCAATGTTACTGAGGCTTTTTATTAGAGTAAGAAATATAGAGAAAAAAAATGGTATTAAACATTTGAACTAGAAATTTTCTCAAGTATAGTCTTATATCTTTCAAAATATTTCTTAAACGGAGATAGAATAGCTTCAATTTGAAGTTGGTATAGAATTCGAGCAGAATATAGTAGAGTTACACATCTCTATTCTTAAATTTTAAATTATAATAGATAATTTATTTATAAGATATTGATTAGTGAAGAAAATGTTGATTGTTGAACGTTTTTTCGAATGTTAGAGGATAATAAACAGATTATAAGTCTTATTTCTGAACGAAATTTCAAATATTTTTACAGTAATTTTATGAAATCATAGTTAACGAATTCGTTATAAGATTCTCTTATTAATAAAACTTATCATCAAAGATATTCATAGAAGTTATTGTAAATCATTTTTTATCTATATGTGTAGGCTGCTGCACCACGTGTCGGTAATCGATGGTCAGCAACTAATAAGCAGAATGAACCAATGAGAGCTCAACTTGTGAAAAATATTTCAACTAATCGAGAACGAGATGCATTTGAATCTTCATCAGCTCCAACAGGTCCTTTAATTGAAATACCAGCTGCATCAAATCGTCTTGATAATATAATTCATCAATCAAATGGAGGAGATCTAACACATCGATCATCATCAAATTATAGTTTAGCTCAAGTTCGTCGTCAAGATCGACCACGAATTCTTGAACCTGTTACAATGGAAAAACAACAAATTGTAACAAGTGTTCATAATAATACGGTAAAACAACAACGATCAAATGTGTCATCATCACCATCATCATCATCATCATCATCAGCATCAAGTCCACCAAATTCAAGAAAATCACCTGTTAAAAAATCTAATGCAATATCAACAAAAACAAGTGAAAGTTCAAATATTCATCGAAGTTTAGAATCATTACCAAATACATATAAAAATAATCAAGGTGCGAGATTAACGAATAAAGCATCTTCACTTGAATTCGGTACAAGACCGGTGCAATATGATGATTTAGGTAAATTTATCTTTTTGCTTTTTTGTTTTTCTTTTCTTATTTATTTATTATATTTAGGATCAACTTATATAACACCTATTGAAGGAAGTCAATCAGCTATCCAATCAAATGGTTTTATTAAAGGATGGCTTCGAAAACAAAATCGAGATTCATTTTTAAAACGAATTGAACGTTATTATTGTGTTTTAAGAGGAGATACATTCTTAATGTATCGACATGAGCACGATAGAATACCACATAAAACAATACAACTTACAGGTTAAAAAATTAATTTTTGAATTCAACAAAACAAAATACAAACAAATACTAAACTTTTATTTTTTTTTATTTAATGAATATTTAGGTGCAAAAGTACTTCTTTATGATGATTCTAAATATGGTCCATCACTTGAATTAACTTGGACAAATCAATCAGATGAAATTAAACACTATCATGTAAATCATAATTTAGAATATTTTAATATTTAAATGAGAATATATCCAAATTGAAGTAGTGAAATCCAACCGTTCGAATAAGACTGGTAGAATTAGAATATTTTATAGATGAGGTGGATCAAGGTTAAGCATAATTGCAAAATCTTTTTGTCTAATATATTTGAAACATAAAAAGTTTTCTTTTGATAAAGTTTGAAATATTTTTTTTTTTAATATTGTCCCCTGACTTTAACATATGCAATCATAATTCTGAATTTTATGATATCATAGAAAACTTACAAATGAATGCTAGATAAACTCATACATAAAGAGGAAATATTTAGCTATGTCTGAGACGCAACTAACTCTTTGTACCAATAATTTCAAATTATCTGCGGATTTCATTTTAACTCAATAGTATTAGTATAGATTCAAGAATCTACATAAAATTTTCACTATCCGTTGCACAAGACTAGACAATATTTCCTTTTATAAGTCAATGATTTGCTCAAAATTTAATCAAACTTACTTCTAAACTAAGCATAATCTAATAGAATGAAATCGAACAAACTCTTCATAGAAATTGTTTCTATTTACCATGTATTCTATCTTCAATCAACAACAAATAATAATCATATATTTTTTTCGTTTAGTTATATGTTTCTAATGCACAAGAAGCTGATGAATGGGTAACTGGTATTCAAACAGCAATATACAGTATAGAACAAAGTATGATATATTATTTTATTTGTATTATATATCGAAAAAAATTTCTATTTAATAGGAGATTTTCAATAAAAAGTATATTAATGCTAATATTGATTTTTAAAAAAAAAACGCTCCTGATTTTCTTCTTAAGAGAAAACTTCATTCGAATTTAATAAGATAATGATCTAATTATTTCTATTTTATTTAGAAAATCATTGGCGTCCATATCATCTAAATGCATAAGACAATCGACACATCAATTATATTGGTTTTTTTTTGTCTTTTAATTTTCGACATTATTTCCCGTCCATCCTATGACTTGATGTTTTCATACTTTGTGTCTTCTGTTCTTTCTCTTTTTCACTTTTTTTTTGCTCATATACGTTAATTTTTTTTTTTTTTTGTTTATTCTATTTGCTAAACATGCATAATTATTTATACTTCTGCTCTTTATATAAATAGAACAAAGATGAATGCCTTCTGAAAAGGAATGTTGTTTTTCTTTTTTGCGCGTTGAAATTTTAATTTTTTTTCTTTGTTTTTTTTTTTTTTTCTTTCTTTCGTTTCGAAAATGTTGATTTGTATTTGAATATATTTCAATCACATAATGAAGATTGATTTATCTAAAATTCAAATTTTATTAAATGGATTCATATAAACATCATGAAAATAAAAAAAGAAAACTTAGTAAATCAAAAGAACATGACAAACATTTAAAAAGAAAAGATAATAAAAATGATAAATTAACTAGTTGGTTTAGACAATGTTGTCATTCGAGAAAACATCATATAAAATCGATGAAAAATGATAAAATACTTGAAACATCTATGAAAAAAATTTCATTAGAAAATGAAAATATAAATATACAATTAAAATCTAATTTACCCATACAATCAGTTTCTAATGAAAAAATTTCGAACATACAAATGACACATTTAAAACGATTACCATTATATAATGAATCTATGATTTATCAAAAAATATTTGAATCGTATGATGATTCATGTATTGAATGTACTGTTCAATATGGACCTGATTCATGGGAAGATATTCATGAAAATTTTCAAAATTCAAACAAACAATTATATGATAATAATAAAGTAAAATGAATTAATGAATAATTCAGAATCAAATAGATTTATTCAAATAAACTTTGATTTTTGTCATCTATCTTGTAAATGTTAGATGTTTCGATATTTCTAATGATAAGCAGACATCAGAATAGAAATAATTCAATGCCGTATATATGTTTTATAATAAGATCTTTTGATGTCTATTTCTAGTCTACATCAACCGAAGGACTTATCACATGTCTAGACGAGAAAGTCAATAATGATGACATTGATAGGTGGTCTTCAAAAGAAAAATTCATAAATAAAACATTAAATCCTTTAAAAACTAATGTAAATTCGTTTATCAATGATATTATTGGTGATGGAGTTGATCGTATATCCGAGATAATTACAATGATATCAACTCATCATAATAAACAAAATGATCTTAAAATAGATAAAAAATTATCGACAAATATCGAAAATAATTTTCCACTAAATAAATCAAATAAAAGATCATTCGATTATGAAAAAAGAATACAAAATCTTAATAGTATTAAACAACATCAATATCAATATCCAGGACTTGTCTTTGAAAAACAAAGTATATCATCAATATTTATAAACACACATATATATTTATATGTATCATCTTAGACTTAAAAACAAAATCACCAATGTATTATCATTCATCCATTGAACTTTCTTTAGACAATACATCATCAAAAATGACTCCAAATGATTACTGTAATAAAGAGAGAGAGAGAAAAAACGTTCGAAAATTTTTTCGTTTTGTAGACTGGGATCTAGGTTCAAATAAAACAAATATTAATCAACAAGAAATACTTAATAAAAAAAATTCATCACAAAATCAAGAATCTTATAGTAAAGTTATAAAATTATATGAAAAAATAAATAATCAAATATTTTAGATTGGGATGATCAAGAATATCTATGGTCATCATCATTCGATTTATCTCAAAAAGATCATTTGGTTGATAGTCTGTAAAAAAGAAAATATTAAATTCAATAAATCTATTAATGTTGGTGTTTTTTTTCTTCAGATTCCGTACATGATCAATCTAAGCAAATAGTAATCAATGATGAAGATAAATTTTTATCAGATAATGATAATGATGATCTTTCATATACAGTTGCATCAGTTTTACCATCAAATACAATAAAGAAATCACAATTATATACGATTGATGTACGAAATTCAAATCCATCTCTCGATATTCTCAATCAACAACAAACTTTTTCGACAAATGAATTTCGTGAAAATATTGATAAAATATCAGATCATGAAAATAAGAATGAATATAACCTAGGAAAGATCTATTCGAATGAATTCGAAGATCAAAATCTTATGAATATGAATCAACAACAAATATCTATTTCAAATTTTATTGATCAGAATAATTTATTATCAACAATAAATTCTATTCATTCCTTAGAACTTATTCAAGATAAAATTCAAAGAATAAATTCAAATAAAGATATTTCAATTTCTTCTCTACATGATAATAGATCATTCTCAAAAAAAAATATTTTAAATTTTCATGAACAACAACCATTATTCGATGATATTCAATTTCAATTATCATCTCAAATAGATCAACAATATGAATTCATATCACAAATTGATCATATAAAGAAACAAAAATCAATCGATTTAGATTCAATTAATACAGCTTACTCAATACCTATTTCAGGACATTCGTCAGTACTATTAGAAACAATAACAGGTAAACATAATAAAAAATAATATTCAATCATCACGAATAACTTTAACTGAAGAGTGTCGTTCAATTTCATCAAATATCGAAAAAAAAAAACAACATAAAAATATTATAATTTTAGATGCAAAAGATCAAACTCTGCCAACTAGTATAAAAAATTCTCAATCTCATTCAATTGATAAACAGGAAAAAGAATTGTTAAACACTGAAATTAATAATAATATTACTCAAACTCGTTCCACATATGATAATACGTAAGTTAGTAAATTTATAATCTTCATTTAAAATTCAATCTTATATTACATTTTTATTTCAGGATAATTTCTTGGCGACGTTTATTTGAACGTCTTTTAAGTTTCATCTTACCTTCTATACATAATACTGATAATAATATGAATTTATCTTCATCTATTATATCATCTGATACTTATTCGTGGTCGACATTGATACCAACAGATATATTTAATATGACTCAATCTGATAGTATTGGTCCATGGTGGGGCCGACGTGATGCTTATAATCAAACTCCTGCTACATTTATATTCGCTAATGAATCATTAAATACATCATATTCAATAGAAACGGTTACTAACAATAAACAAATGTGTATATCTATAGAGAATAGACCATGCTACTCTAAATATTATAGTTATCCGAATACATGTCATTGCTGTTGCAATTCATCGATAACTATAAACAATAATTCATCATCTTCTTAATGTACATCATAAAAAATTCTTTTTTTTTTCTTCATATTCAACAAACTCTACTCATCATTTATAATAAATCGACTATATTTATTTCGATAGTATATTTCTATCGATGTAGTTAATGAAGTATAAGAAATGAATTTTAGAAGTTCATATAAATTCAATCAATCTTAACTGTTCTATTCTTGATTAAGTACATGATGAAAAATATATTCATAACTTTTTGTTTTTTTTAATATCATTATTGACTCAAAAAATAATATATCATTACGTAAAAACTTTAAGTGTGCATGATTTATTTTTCATACTTCAGATTGTGTTATTAAAAATATAGATGATATTCTATTCATAGCATCATGGACAATTATGATTCGCAGCAGTAGCTGTTCAAAGTGTTCTTAATTTGGTGGCGATCATTGATCTTATAAAAATAAGATAAACATTGCTATTCATTTGAAGTAAATGCAGACATTTCCGATGTTTTTTTTTCTATATATGAATAGATGTTAAGATGAATAGGGAAATCAATATTTTGGTTAGATTTATTTTCTTTTTCGATAATTATGATATCAATTCCTGATTGGGAACTAAAGAGAGAATACATCAGACTCATATTCTCATACATTCATTGGTACATTATGATGTAATCAATTTATTTTTATGTGCTAAAACACGTTTGTTCTTTATTTCGTTGATCTCTTCTATACACTTTGTACGTATTATTCGAGAAGACAATAAAGAAAATTGTATGTATGTGTAGGTGTCCAGACACGTTTATCAATTTTCACATTGATACTTACTATCAATAATTATTCTACTAGTGCTATTTGTAAATTACATCTCTATGATTAATAGCCTTGTGAGAGACAAATATAATGAACTACAACATGTTGATGTTAGATGAAGAGGTAAAGAGATAGAAGATGATTCTTCGTTTTTTTTTTCTCTTTCTCTCATACTCCGATTTGTTATACAATGTGCCGCCGGTACGGATCGACATTTTCTTTTTCTTTGTTTTCTCGTAAACAGATAGATAATCTTCTCGACACACTCTCGCTCTCTTTGTTTTATTGAGTACTTATGTATGACACAACATTTATTGAATATCTGATTGTTTGACTAAAGTCTTCAATAATAAACAATTGAGAATTATTCTTTAATGGATGCTGATTTAGCAGAAAAACTTAATCAAAGAATTCGTCGTATTGAATCCGTTGAATCATCTTCAGAAACATCATCAATTAATGGAAATGGAATGATCGATGATATTGATTTATCATATTCATTAACAAATTATGAATATCAACGATCTGATATATTCAATCCATATACGGAATATAATGAATTTTCACGAAAACAAATACAAAATTTAATGCAAATATTTGATAAGTACGTGTAGAATGAAAAATAAATTAGATTTATTTTTATTTTTATTTTTATTTTTTTTTTTTGGAAGATATGATACCGATAGAGATAAATCACTTAATTTTAATGAATTAAAATTTATGATGGAAAAACTTGGTATTCCACAAACACATTTAAGTTTAAAAGAAATGATTAAACAAGTCGATGAAGATCATGATGGTAAAATATCATTTCGAGAAGTAAGAAAAATAATTATATTTATTCTATATAATTCTTTAATACTATGTTGTTTTTTTATAGTTCTTACTTATTTTTCGAAAAGCAATCTCTGAAACTAATGAAGCAGAATATGAAAAATCATCTATTTTATATCAACTTTATGCAATGCTTTTTGAAATTGATGTTTCAAAAGAAGGTGTCGGTGGTGCAAAACATTTTTTTGAAGCTAAAGTAAAGATTTCTTTTTCAAAAATATTGTTTTGTTTTTCTTTTATTTAAAGATTTTATTTTTAGATAGCTGCAGTTAAATATAGTGACAAATTTCAACGAGAAATTCGTGAAGAACAAGAACAACGACGTCATATAGAAGAAGATAAAATTCGTCGTAAATTAGCATTTCAAAATCGTCTTGCACAATTTCAAACAACATAACTATAAATACAAAATATAGTCTATGCTGTGATAAATTTTCTTAATATACTCTTGCATGTAATGTTCTTATTTTAGACAGTTTATGAATTTTTATTATTTAATTAGAATGCAATTCTTCTTTGTTTTCTTTCAATACAATAAACTCATTTTTCTTGCTCTTTGTTGAATAAAAAACACAAAAGTTTTATCTTCAAAGATTCGACAAATATATAAATAATTAAGAATTCTTTTTTAGTTATAAAAATAAGTAATTGGAAACTATCGTATTTGTAAGATATGTTGATAAATATTACATACAAACAAAGATATTCTTTGTATATCAGTTGAATAAGCTTAATATTTATGCTTTTTTTTTGTATGACGAAATGATTCGCAAATTTCTATACATGATTATTAAAAAAATGTGAAATCATAACTAGAAGTATGTAAGTCATATTATGGAAAACATGCAGACTTTTACAAAGTCGTATTTTGTTTTTGACGAGATGACAATTAAAACTATAGTAGATGTATATTAGTTCTGATCTTCAGATTTCATTTAGACAATTTATCTGAATTTTTGAGTTTGGATATAGAGTGGACTATAAATAGTACTACGATAAAAAATTGAAATATCTCTGCTTCAGTTCGCTTTAATGGACTCATTTTTGTGTTAGCTGTAGAAGATTATTTACAGTTCTTTTTTTTTTTACATGAATAATGTAATCAAATACCTCAATCAAGTTATAACTTTAGTCTCATTAAAAAAAATTTCACTTATTGTCAAGTAAGAAAAATACAGAAGGACTAATTTCAACATTGAAACTGACTAGTTTTGAAAGCTTGCTCAATGTGTATCAATATAGTATCATGTTTCTTCTTATTATTCTCTTAAATGACAACTGAAAATTATCTATGAAACGCTTCATATATATTTTTCTTATTTGACAATCAGTGAAAATTCTTTATCAAAATCAAAAATATGATTTGACAGTAGCGTTTGTTTACGTTATTCATATGAAAACAAAAAATTTAAATAACCTTCTACAACTAACGAAAAAATCAGTCTACTCAGATACATCGAAGAGGAGATTTTTCAATTTTCTATTGTAGTACTACATATATAGTTCATTCTGTAGCATTATTTTTGATTAGAAACAAGAGGAAACAAATGAAAATAGATCATTATTGTCTATGTTCTTATATTTTTGAAATGATATCTACTATTATTACAATATTCATATCGAAAATTGAAGAATTATTTATACAGAATAACAAACAATCTTTTTCTTTAATCTTTGTGTATAATAGAAAACATCTTAACACTTTTTCGACAAAAAAAAACACGAAGTATTAAGCCTAGTATAATGGGACAAACAATAATTGAAGCTTAAACTATTCGATTAACACAACAGATGCAAAGGAATTTTTAATTTGGTTCTCAATCGATAAAACACGAAACATCAGAATAACAAAAAAAAAAAATGAATCATACTCGTGAAAAATAATAAAAAGAATTATCAATTTTTTTTATTAGTTTTAATGATTACAAAAAGAATTCGATCAGGAAGAAAAATCTTGGATGCGTAAATTCGTTATTATCATCTGTCGATCACTTTTCTTGAAATTAATAATGGATCGATTAACCGATTTATTTAATAGATTTTGAACGATTGTGAAGTCTCTGGATGATTTGAAAAACCTTCACAATTTATTACAGCGTTGTTTTTCTCATAATAAACCATAAAATATGTTCTACATAATACTATCAATAAAAATGAACAAGTTCTCCTGATAAAATTATATGATGAATCTTTTAATATTAATGTCAAAGCAATTAGTTAAATTATTTGTGTTGTTATATTTGAAACATTCATTCGAATGATGGATCAGCATAATTAACAGTGTACATCCATGTTTATCTTTTCTCAATAATATATCAAGATTTTTACAGTCTAATAATAAAACAACAAGCTATTGTTTTGACTTATTTGATACGATATCGTAATTTTCTTTTCAAAATTACAAAATACACTCGTTTTTGGACATGTTAAGTAAACATTTGTATGAAGTATTACATAACCATGGTATACATAATTTAATAAAAATGACCTTATTTTCTCTCAAATAAACTGTATATCAAAAGTAAATTGACCTTGAAAAAAAATAATCCACTTCTCCTATACTTTTATGATTAACTTTGAATAAAATCTTCAATTTACAAGTTTGCAACAATACCATAAAATAATATATAGTGTATTAAAAATGAAGTTTTATTTCTTTATGGTTCTGCTTACTAAAGAAATCTACTAATAACATGTAAATATATGAAAAATCATTAGAATTTAATATAACAACCTAGTTATCCGAACATTACATGTAGTTGCTAAAAATTATATGAAAATAAATAGCAGTTATATTTTATAGAGTAATATGGATGACATTCGACTTCGAGTTAAATGCTGAGAATACGATAGAAACAATTACTCATATAATGGTAAACATTGTTAAGATAATAATAATAATAATACAAACGATTGTCGAGTGGCAATGCATTAATTTGACAATAATTTTGGTGATTTATCGAAAAATCTACTTGTTGACGTTGATGATTGACCTTGCGATGATATACCAAGAGCGCTAGTTACACTGTTTATTACCGCAGGAGAATATTTAACAATATACAAAATTTAGTAATAGTAGAAAAAATTTCTTCCAACAATATTTAATATGAATAGATATTGATTTCACATATATATTTCGTTTTTCTTTAATCACTAAATTTTATTTGATTTTATATGAATTTAATTGGAAAGAAAAATTGTTTCATATTTCTGTTATTAAAATAACTCGCACTTACAATGTCTACAAAGATTCAACGCTCAACTAAATGAGTTTCGTTGTATAGATTTATTGCTAATCAAATTCTATTATAGGTAGAAAGTAGATGAAAAAATTATTTAATCTTACAATTCATAAATTAACTAATGGCATCATTAAATAAATTATTAGACTTTTTATCATCTTCACGAAAAAGAAATTATTTATAGGAGTTATTTTGATTTAGGCAATAATGAATACAGAAAAAAAAACACGAATCTTTCTGTAAATAAATGGCAACCTTTTCTTCACTTTTTCATATTTTATTATTATAGAAAGGACGATAAACACATTTTATTTTAATGTTTGAGTCAATATTATGACAGTAAATCTATGTCTCATGGTCAATGATGATATCATATTATACTTGAAAGAATATTTCAAGTGTAAGTTAAAAAGTTTACACCTCGTATTGTATATAATAACAAGTATTTCAACATTGAATGCAAAACAAAATAAAATTCTTTTCTCACAAACAAATTATTCAAATGACAATAATTTTTTTTATCTATCTAATTATAACAAAATTCATTCATCAATAATAAAATTATCTCTTCGTTAAAAATCTATTTTTTTCTCATATTTAATACATCAACATATTATAAAACATTGATTTTTGTTTATCAATCTCTCTCATTATCCAGCTGTGTATTTCAATATGATAACAAAGAATATACATGCATAAAGCCAACAGTGAAGAGAGATAATAAAGCAAAATTTTGTGCATGTGCATAAAAAAAATTATCTCAAAAAAAAAAAAACAAACAAAAGAATCAGATCACATTCAAAAAAAAAACAAACACAAAAAAAGCTCCCAAAATATATTTGTGCGTTATAAAACACTACAAAAAAAAAAGCACAACAAAAAAACAAAACAATCCTTTTATTTATTAGTTAAAAATAGCATTTTGCTGGCCAGCAGCAATATTCGCACCCACACAAAAGCACAAAATAAAAATAATAGCATAAAATTATTTCGTTGTAAATATAAGTGAACATACAGGAAGATACAAAATACTTATCTGATCTCATTTTATATGAATGAGATATATGTCTTTTTTTTTATTTTCTAAGACGGTAGCTACACAAAAAAATAAGATAGAAATATACAATGGAAGATATATTCTATTTATACAAGCAAATAAATCATATATTGCTACTACTACTACTACTACTCAAATATTTATAAATATAAAAATTATTATTTAAAATGTTCTTCGTTTTTGTTCATCCAAATCTTTCATGTCCTCAATAAGACTGCTGCTGAGCTCATTTAATAATAAATCCATTGTCTAGAAAAATTATGTTCGATTATTAAAATCGAACTAAATTTTCAATAAAAAAAAACAAACAAATAACGAAATATATTAGTATTTACTTACAACATTCATATATGAATTAATATGAAATTTGTTTGATGCATAATTATCTAATGTTCTTGAACGATTTTCATCGATTTGTTGATATTGATCAACTAAATTATGAAGCATAGTTACTAAAAGAAGAAAAAAAAAACAATATAATATTTCATTTGTAATTTAAATAAATAATTCTTTACCATCTAATAAACGTGAAAGATCATCAATATCAACAATAGAACCATTTTGTTTAAGATATTTTTGAATTAATTCATCTAAACATATTGTATCTAATAGTTTATTTTGTGCATGATCTTCAATTGCATTATATTGAATTTGATCAACTTGTGGTCTGCTTGTATTATAGATATTATAAGTAGTATTATACATCATTGGAATCTTACGAGGCTATATTAAATAATAGTTTAAGGAAAAAAAAAATTATATTTCAATAATAACTTACTTGATCAGCTAAAGTTTCACTACTTAATTCTCTTAACATATTTTCAATTTCAAAATCGACTAATTCTTGATTAATATTCGTTAATAATCGTCCTTGTACATCAGATGGTAAATCATGATATCGTAGTCGATTAATTGTTTGTAGAGACCGATCCTCTTGAAAATCTGATGATCTCAATAAAGATAAATTTGAATCGAAGTTAGATGTAGAAATATGTGGACGTTGATAATCAAGTTCACGTATCAAATCGTCGGACATTAAACTAACGACATATTTTGTTTTTCAGTATTAATAAGAAAAACAAAATTTAATCAACATACTAATTATTTGTTTGATCTTGATTCATACGTCTATTTAATTCTGTATAATATCGTTCAATGTCTGATCTATAAGATCTATCATTTTGTTTTTTCTATAAACAAAAAAAACAAAAATCCTTCATAATTTTTTCTTTTATCTTTTTTTTATATTTACTTCTTGATCAAGTTCACTAAAAACTTCAAGTAACATATCTGGTATAAATTCATTTTCAATACTTCTATCAATAAAATCATTTATATAATGATTAGTAAATGCTTCATTTTGTGGTGAAGATGCATAATCCGACAGTTCCTAAACAAAATATTATTTTTTTCTCAAGTTTTTTACAACACACAGAAGAGAAAAAGATATTATTGAAACAGTATCATATGTCATTATATCGGTTAGTAAGATGCACAAAAAAGAAAAGAAAAGAAATTGTTAATCAACACACTCACACGGTGAAATAGTTGTGAAGGAAAATAAAGCATTCGTTCAGGGTATGCATAGTGTAAAACTGGATCATAGACCGGTGCTATTCGACGTGATGGCAGTATGAAATTACCACCATCACTACCACTCACAGGTGGAGATAAAAGATTACTTAGATGAGGTACCACAATGTATGGCTAATAATATTTGAAGTTTTTATTTATTGAAGAATATATTATTATTTTTTTATTATTGTATACCTTCTTTTGTCTTTGAAGTTCACTACCCAAACCATAACGAGATAAAGGTGATGGATATCGTCGAATTAGATTAGCATTTAAAGTTGAACGATAATCAGTTGAATTAAGACCCCAATTGTCAAGACCAATTGGCGGAGAACTACGATATGGATGAAGAAGAAATGTGATTACTTAAAGTGGATTTTTCTATACATGTGATTCAAATTGCGGACAAAAACTGCCAATAGATCATTTAGTATAATGTGTGTGTTGTACAGACGGTAGTACGACACAAACGTACAATATAGGTACTTACTATAAATCATCAAGTGGTGGCAATGGACTATTAAATCGACGTAAATTATAATAATTTTGATAAGGTCCACTACCAGGTGGTGTTACTAACCTAAAATAGATTGTCTCGAAATACTCGAATTATCTTATGATGATTGAAATATTTATTATTTGGTTGTATAAGAATGCTGTATATGTCGAATATTTTATACATGTGACAGAGTTGCTGATAAAAAAAAAGTATATTTTACTTCAAAGATTGGTAAATACATGATGGCATTACTTGAAGATATTTTTCAAATAAATGCTAAATAAGTCTGATTAAAAAATTGGTATGTACCCGAGTATTAAACTTTAACTTTTTTCTTTCTCTTTTCTTCGTTTACATAATTGGAAATATTGCAAGAAATTTACATAAATTTTTTGAGTACATAGTAACATACAACACAAATAAAATAAAACAGCAGGAATAATAAAACAATTTGAAAGACAAGATTTATTATAAAGTGTATGAAGACCCCCTACGTATTGTTTTGCTGCCTTGTAGAACAGAGTGCATATGATTTATTTTCTCGTTCACTGCATGAATGTAGAGCAAGGTAACCCTGTCCCAACAGTTCATTTGTGATGCATACTTAGACGATAATTTCCAATGATGAACATTTCATTAAACTGGAACTCGTCTAACAAACAAAATAGCTTCGTTTGTCTAGTCTGTCATGTTATATCATCTTCCTGTTTTTTTTTTCAAGACCTATTATGCAAATATATGTTACAAAATGAAATTCTTTTTTAATTGTTTTTGACTTTTTTAAACACATAATTCCGAAAGAGAAAATTATTTGTTTTAGTGTTAAGCAAATGATAGCACAAAAACGTATAAAGATATATTCATATTTATATTTTTACAATAAAATTATTCGATAAGATTTTTTTTTATGGTATGATCACTTAAATATTAAATAATGTCAAATCAATACATACTGTCGTAATCTCGGTGGCGTAACAATAGGACTATAGAATGGTCTTGATTGAAATAAATCAAGATCAGTTGGTTGTTGCCAATTGAGAACATTTTCATTGATACGATTATTATATGGTAGTCGTCGTTGTTGTTGTTGAAATGTTTTTTTCTTTAATATCGATGTTGGTTTATACATTGAATTTTGTGATGAATTATTTCCAAATCTAAAGTTTTATTATTTTTTATATTGATTTATTTATTGGCTTCCATTATTTGTATATGTTAATAAAAGAAAAATAATACCGTATTTTAATACTATTAGGATTGTTTTTTATTGTAGAATGATATTGTTGTGAGATTGGTTTTTTTGCTCGAGATTTTTTAGTTGTTGGATATCCGATAGTACGTGAACGATTTTGATATGTACTTGCCATTGAATATAATAAGTATTGATTTTCAAAACTCAATTATGATCGATTATATACTCGTAAAAGAGCAAACATGTCAATTATTTAGATGTCATGGTAACTTAAATATCTAAGTCTTCGATTATGAAAAGTAACTTGTGAAAATTATTTTTTGTTTGTTTTTTTTTGTTGATTTATAATATATTTCAATAGATAGTTTTAAAAATTATTTAAGAACTTTTTTTTTTCTCTATTTTAGATCACATTTATTTGATTAGTTAAATGTATTAACCAATAAAAAGAAATATTCAAATGAGTCATAAGTCATAAAAGAGTTTGTTTATTATTTAAATGTTCTGTTATCTTTTCTTTGCTCTATATTATTATTATTATTATTATTATTATTATTATTGAGCGTTGATTATTTTTCAGGTAAATGTTTATATTTATAAAAGAAATCAAGAGAATTATATTTTCTTTTTAAATTGTTTTAGATAAATTGGTAAGTCTATAAAAAGAGAATTTTTTTTCTTTTTTTCTTTTGTTTTTTAAAAATAAATCTACGTGTGAACATATACATCATACACATTGATTTCTTTTCATTCTTCTAACTGATTTTATTTGCGCAATTGGTTTTTAAGAACACATTTGATTTTCTTTTCTCTACTCTTTACAACATCCAATATATATGTCTTTATGTTGTATGACTTTAGTTTTAGCCTTCGCTCTTTTTCTCTCGATGTTGCCTCAAATGTATTTTATACCTGTAGGTAAAAGAGGAGAGAGAGGGACGTTAGTAGAGTGGCAATAGAAAAAAACCTCATTTGTAATGTCGTCGTTCGTCGAATACTTGTCACCTGTCGTTGGTGATGTCGTTTTTCTTTTTTTTTTTTTTTTTTTTTTTTTGTTCGTTTCTCTCTCTATATTCTATGAGTAATAACAAATGTTTCATTGCATTACATTTTTATTTCGTTTTATAAAAGTGAGCACAGAGTGAAAAAGAAAATAGATTTGGATATAAAAAAACATCGAATTATGAATGATATTTATTGGCATGAGAAACGAACTATGTCTTCAAAACAACTTTCATCACCTCCACCAACACAACCTAGACGTTCATATGAACATGCACTTCGAACGAAACATCATCAACAAATGAATATGCAATTTCATCCACATTCAGCAACAACAATAACAGGTCGAACAGATCCTTTATCATATCTTCACTATCCAACAGTATCTAGTCGATCACATAATAATAATAATAATAATAATGCAAATTTTCCATATACTTCAAGCACACATGGTGTTTATCGTCAATCTCCACCCACTATTGTAACTTCACCTCCGTTACATTTACATCAAAACAGACACTTCGATACAAGAAATCAATCTCCTTATTCTGAACAACGATATTTTTCTCGTAGTATTAGTGATGATTATTTTACAACAAAATATGATGAAATAAATCGTCTTAATGATGATATTTATGGTGATGAAGACGAAGATGAACATGATTATGAAGAGAATAGTTCCGAAAATTTCAATTACATTTTCGAAAATACAGGTGTAAGTTTAAGTGAGAAAGAGAAATTCAAAAAATATTTGTCAAACTAATACAAATAGTTACTTTTCACTATTTATTTCCTGTCGTTTAGTTTGTGCAATAACACACTTATGTGAATAATAAATTTGATAAAGTTTTTTTTTTTTTTTTTTTTTTTCTTCAATTTTTTTACGCTATCTATGTTAATCGAATTGAGAATATGTGTAATTTGATCTTTTTATACAAAACAAATCGTTCTCTTTTTCTTTTTTCTTATCAAATTAATCTAATCCATTTACATATATGTGTATAATATACATATTTCACTTCCGCAAAACATATTTTTAACGGAATAGAACTTACTAAAGAATATGTCTTTTTATTTTCTATAGGTTAGAGGAACAGAAATAGAAAAACAATAACAACTGTTATTTTTTAATGGTTTTTTTTTTTCTTTCTGGTACATAATATATTTTTGCATTTTAGATCCTTGTATGATACCTCACAACCTTACTTTTTTTCTATAGGCTACATTACTAATGCGAGTAATCGTTTGTCGCTTTAAGAATATATAACAAGAAAAAAAAAACGAGAAGTATATATTGAGATTACAACATCGTCTCTCTTGTTTTCGTTGTTGTTAGTATTCTTTTCTATAACTGATTGTTTTAGGATTTAGGAATCATTTCTTATCTTTTATATCCTACTCGTCTTCTTTTCCTTTGTATCGAATCGATAAGCTCTTGCCTATACATAACTTATTTATCTCGATGAAGTTATGGATTCATCTTTTCTTTTTTTTTTTTTTTCTTTACTTTCTCACTCTCGTTTTCGGATAGGATGACAAATATAATCATGATCATTATTGAAAAGAGTCATGTTTTGTATATAACGAACACATATATCCATATATAGTGATGAATGAACAATTGATTGAAAAAAAATTAGGGTCAAAATGTCATTTTGTTTTTGTATTGACGTATATAGATACGAAAAGAAGAAGAGAGTAGTATGTGTGTGTAGGTTAGATGACCTTCATTTTGTTATTACGCGTACTCACGTCCGTTCGTTTTCTTCATTCGTTCGGCCAGACACTAAACGAAGAAAAAGAAATAACGGGAAGAAAATTTTATACTACATTGAAACAAAGAAAAAAACGAAGGAGGAGAGAAATGTGAAAAGAAACCAAGCGAAAATTATCATTTTCATTAAAGGCAAACCGAGAAAAAAAAACCGAGAAAGTGAATCAATATTATTTTGCCATAGTATATGTAAAAGAGGACAAAAAAATGGGTTTAACTAATTCTCGACGATGGTGGCGAGTAGACGAAACATCTGAAATACATCCGTCTTTTATTAACAATATTGATGAGAAGAAGACAACAAACGAAGATGAGAAAGAGGAAAAAAATGATGAGGTATGTTTTTAATTGATTTATGGATATACTCCAATAGTCAAGAGAGAACTCTATTGGCATTTGGTATTTTTTTTTTACACATCATATATACGTATGCATATGATTGGGTTCACAAGTGGCCTTCTCAACCTTGGTAGACATGGTTCACTTCAGTGATTCATTCATTCATTTTTTTTTCCTCTTCTCTTTCTCTTATGAGTACTTGCTCTTTCGTACTTACTGATAAGAACGATGAAAAAAGAAAAAAAAAATTGAACATTAAATAAATATATTCAATGTCTTTTTTTATGATTTATTTGAAAGGATGTGATATCACCAGTGAATTCACCTATGGCAACATATCGTAATGTTGGACCTCTAAATTCACCGAATACAAATAATAATAATAATAATAATTTATCATCAAATTTAAATCGTGATTCAATCGATTATTCATCAACAAAATATAATCAACAACAAAATTATAAATCTTTAACAATGCCAAAAAATCATTATCAAAATATAACAACAACAACAACAAAAGATTTTCTTCCAACAGATAATGATACAAATTATGTAACAGCATCATCATCATTAGATACTGAAATAAATTCAAATATGAATGAATCAACAAAACGTATGAATAATCCTAATGGAAAATTTTCTATACATAAAATAATTAGACAAGGTATTTCATCATTGCGTACACGAAAAAAACCATCATCAATGTCAACGCCACCACCACAACCCATGCCATCAACAAATCCATTTTATGCAAATGCTCCAACACCACCACCATCTCAACCTTCTTTATCAGTTGGACATTATGTGACAAATAATGATGATATTCCACACCCTCCTCCACCGACAACTCTACGTTCTATATCAGTTGATTCAATATCAAATAATACATCACCACAGAAAATTATTGTTACTGAACCAGTTACTGTTTCAACAGTACGAGCAAATAGTGTTGATAGTGTAACAATTGATTTCGATCGACCGCCAACAACTACTCGAACTTATATTCAACCATCATGGACTAGTTCTACAACACCTACAGCAACGACTATTACAACAATTAATACTCCTATTAATACAGAATCAATAACTCGACAAACACCAGTACCTGCTACTCGAGTATTACCTGTACAATTTACTGAAAATAATAAAATTTCTACACCACGATCTCCTCCACCGTTACCACCACCATCATCATCATCTGTTGCACCATCACCTCTATCATCCAATATATCATCAATAACGACCACAACAACAAAAACAATGGAAAAAAATCATGCTACAAATTCTTTAACAAAAATCCCATCAAATCCAACTAAAATTCCACCTCCTGGTATAATAGATTTTTTTTTTTTTTTGAAAATCTTCTAATAAAATTATTTTTTTTTTCTTTGTTTCAGTTGCTCCCAAACCTGATGCTAGTCGTTTAACGCCAATTCGTACAAATTATTTAAATAATAATAACAATAATAATAATCATTTTTCGTCTTCTACTATCAATCCAATGCTACCACAACCTCCGCCACCAGCTCCACCACCAACGACAAATAATGTAACATTTACTACAATACCTTCTTCATCTTCTTCAAGTTCGACAAGTACAATTGAACAACGTCGTTTAATTTTATCTGATAAACTTACAATAAATCAATTTAAACCTATTCCTGATAATAGTACAACTATTTATGCTAATGTTAGTTCAATTCCGACAATACGTCCAATAATTGCTAATAATATTTTAACATTACAAGAAAAATTTCAAATGCGTTCTTCACCTGTAAGTACAACAAATTCATCTCCATCACCAATACCAATAACTTCAATGAATTCAAATACTATTTCAACAACTATAACAAATTCATCATCACCATCAACAAATTCTTCATCAACACCACCAACAACAACAGTTATTCAAACAAATAAACAAATTACTGTTCAAGATATTGATACAACTAAATATGAAGAAATTCCTGCTAAAGAACCAGATTTAACACGACAACCAGAAAAAAGTGCATTAAAAAAACCTAATGGTGTTAAACGTCGTGTTATACCAGTATTTAGAGAAAATCAACGTCCATCACCACGTCCTAGTCCAAAAACTAAACCAACTGTTGTTATAACTGCACTACCATCAACAACACCAGTCAATGATGAACATAATTCTGATTATGAACAAAATGAAAATTATTCATCTGATGATGATGATGATAATAATAATAATAATAATAATGGAACAAGAAGACCTTTTGCTAATGTTAAACGTAATGATTCATTAGCACGTTTTCTTAAAGATCGTCCATTACCTAATGAATTATTTGATAAAAATATTCTTGTTAAATCAATGGATGAACGTAAAAATGAACGTGAAACAATTGAAACAAAATTAGAACGAAAATTATCATTAAGACCAAGTCCCGAAGAACTTGAAGCAAGAAATATTTTACGTGCAAAAACACAAGCTGAATTAACAGCAGAAAAAGAAGAAACAAAACGTTATTTAATACGAAAACTTAGTTTTAGACCGAGTATTCAAGGTAAAAAATATTGATTTTCAATTTTCGAGGAAACTATCATGAAATACGATCTTAATAGAATGTTGAAGGATAGGAGTAAAAAACGTACACTCTCCTCCTCCATTAACCATGACAGATGCTAGTTACAAACCATGACAGACTGTGACAAACGCTAGTTGTAGGCCATGATAGATCGTAACAGACACCTTAACAACACTCTCCATCCCTCACGACACAGGCTGTGACAGACGTTGATATATGGTGACAGATCGTATATATCAATTACGTCTTGTTGCAAGATATGATGTACTTTCTTATTGGATTTCTAAAACATTAAGTAAAAGCAATAGTAAAGAAATGTATCCTAAAATAGATAGAATAAAACAATTTCTCTGTTATGAAGAACAACAGTTGCATGTTTTAATTCCTTATGGATTACACTAATATCTTTTTTCTTAAGAATTGTTATAATGAAGTTATCTTCCTATGATATTCTTATTTGATAATTATCTTTTTATAGTAAAATCAAAATAGAAAATATTTTCTTTGATAATAACACGGAAAAAAAAATAATCTTTCCCGTTTAACAAATTAAGATTTTCAATATTTGAGAAAAAAAAAGAATTGTGTTTAATTGAAGATTTCAAAATCATCAAGTATTATATGATGTATATGTAAATAGAAGACGAGGGGGGAAAAACTAAAAGAACATTTTGAACATTGTCAACTTTTCTACTAGTTCTTATATGTGTTAAGGCCTCTCCCCCCCCCCCCCCCTCCAAAATCGATTTTCGCTATAGTACGAGGGAATTTCACGAAACTTTCCAGGAATGTTTGGCTCATAGTTGTACATATATAAAAAAATTTTCAGAGCTCTAAACCTTACCGTTCGAAAGATTTCGAACAACCAAGGGGCAAATTAGGGCTTCCACGAGAACAAGGAATTTTTCAGTACACTTCAAGCTACAGCTCCCGGGGTAGTCTTATTTGAAAGAGAACTCCTTGCTGCTTCGGATGAGGGAAGGGATTTTTTTAATTTATATTTTATTTCATTTTTGTAACTCTCGAAACCTTAAAGTTCTAAAACCCCTAGCCAAGGTTTTCTAGAAAACCTTTGGTTTTTTCAATATTAAGGGTCGAGTACAAATTCCATTTCCCTCATTCGAAAGAGGATTCATCAATCTATCGAATAAAAAAAACCGCAGTTCGATGGAACGAACTATAGTGAAAAAAAATTTGTTCGGAGTTTCTCAATTTTGCCAAAAATCAGTTTTGAGAAAAACGCGCGAATGTTTTTTTCTTTGAATATTTTGTTGAATCATCTTCATACATCAGAGAGAAACGTAGTTATATTGTATATCAATTAAAAGCCCATCAGACGTCTCACCGAGTAGGCGTACAACAGTACACCGTGTCATTGTTTATCATTATGAACGATAAAAACAAGTGGGTCTATAAGTTCTCTATAGTCTTAGGTACCATGTTTTTTGTTAGAAAGCTTTAGAAGTTCATCGATTATTTTAAAGAAGTCTTTCGAAATTGGAAGTGACTTTCATGAATTTTAAAACTAGACACCTTGGAGGTAACATCCATATGTTTATCTCGAAAACTGAACTTTTTAAAAAAAAAATCGATTTTCGGAGGGGGGAGAGGCCTTAAAAGAAAAAAAATACATTCATGATCATTTTCATTTATTTCTGATTCAATTATAGACAAAATCATAATGTTTAGTGATAAAATCTAAAGAAAGATTTTTTTAACATTTTTCAATTATTATTCTATATATTTACTTTTTTTTATTTTCTTTTTAGAACTTCGTGATCGAAAAATTATTCGTTTCTGTGACTATATTGAAGTATCTGAATGTGATGATGTTGATCGACGTGCTGATAAACCATGGACACGTTTAACACCACGAGATAAACAAATGATTCGAAAAGAACTTAATGAATATAAAAGTTCAGAAATGGAAATTCATCCAGATAGTGCAAAATATACACGTTTTCATCCTCCTTAGTAGTAAATCATTTTACAGTTATACATATGAATTCCGACTTGCTGCTCTCTTTATTTCATTTCTGTACAGAATTTTTTTTTTTCTAGCAAAGAGAAAAAAAAGAAATTTTCTTCCAACTAGAGCAGCAAACAAAAAAAAAAACAAAACAAGATTTTCTTCATCCTTGCTGTGATTTTTTACCATGTTCATATATAAATGTTTATTTCTGTTTATCGACCTATTACTACTTCTAAATACACATACATTTATTTTTTTGGTTGAAATCTTTTTTTTTTTTTTTTGTTTTTTTATTTACCAAACAAGTAGTGTGTATCGCGCCCTATCGATCAAACATTATTCATGTATAGTTTCTGATCTTAAATTCAGACCGGTTTTTTTTCGTTCTTCATATTTTTTTCTCGCTATTATTATTGTTCATGATGAACATTAGATTTTCTTTTTTTTGGTCTTTTCATTAGTCTTTTCTTTTATTGTTCAACACATTCCATACATACTTAAAAACATGTAATGATGTATATCTATGATCAAACATGTTCTCTCATTTGTTGAATAATGTTTTTTTTTTTTCTTGTAAAACATTGGCTTGAAATTTTTTTTGTCTATATAAAAAAAAAATTAATTAAATGAACAAATTGATAGACAATTAAAAAAAAAAGCTTATGTGCTTCATATGTCTTTTTGTTTATCTATTAAACAATAATATTTTTCCAGATTTTCATGGTCGAAAATTGATTTATCAGTAAAGAGAATTAAAAAAAAAATAAAAGAAATTTTAATCGAAAAATTAGTCATTTTTATACAAAAATTATTCGAAAATAAAAATGTCAAAAAACGATTGTAATCCAACATCATCGACATCAGTTCTTATAAATACATTGATTGTTCAAGAAATCTCGACTTTAATTAATAATAATCAATTTAATGAAGCTCTTGAGTATCTAAAATCTTTAACTGAACAACAAATCTATGATAACACATGGGATTTATGTACCTATCTATTGGATTTATCAGAAAAACCATCAGATAAATTATGTAATGAATATGAATTATATTCACAAGATGCCTTAATATATGTAGCAGAACATGGTAATCCTCGTGAAATGTTAATTATAATGCTTGAACAAACGGATAAATTTATATCTGATGAAGCTTTTTTATTTCATATAAAATTATTTCTTATAATTATTAAACGTTTACCATTAAAACCTAGTTTAATAACATCAATTGATGATATTCTTTCATTATTAAAATGTCATTTGACTGCACTCGAATTACCAACAATTAATAATGATTTTGCAGGTTTTATTTAATTAATAAAAGCGAAAAAAAAGAACACAACGAATATATATATATATTTTTTTTTATTCTTTTTAGGTAAAGATTTATTAGTATTTAATCATGATCAACGTGTTACACATTTACTTAAACTTACTCAATTCTATATTGATTTTATTTGTCAACTTCGTGATTATTTTTCAACAACAAATATAAATAATATTTTTTCTATTCTAACAAAATATTTAATTTCTCTTTTACAAGAACCACTTTCATCACTTAGTTATGAACCTATTAATTCACAAGAAAGTTCATCATTTACATTAATTCGTCCATTATTAGATTGTTTATTTACACTTAATCCAAATCCAATTCAATTAATTAATGATAAAGAACAACAATCTATTTTAATTTATTTACTATTAACAAAAAATAATTATTTTTCATTATTACCATGTGTTTATTCATCATATTTTTATCTTATTCTTAGTATTCCATCTATTCAACAATTAAGTAATGATCATGAACATGTTATGTTAACAGAAAAAGCATGTGTACTTGTATCAAATG